TATGTAGGCAATTAAGGCTTAGTTCAAACGGCGAACTTCTGATGTGCCGCGCCAAATTACTATTAAGCTCGGCAGAGCACGGCAAAATAGGAATTTGATTCAAACGTCAATTTTAATTCATATGATTCATATGACCTTTCGTTCCTTTACGCCAGCGTTTATACAACGTGCATGCTCAAATAAATAGCGGGATTTTCATTATGACGAAAACAAAAATAGCAGAAAGACAGATCATTTTTATGCGACATATGCTAGAGCGTGCCAAAAATCGAAGGAGAATGCTTGATTCTTTTATTCAGTCATTGATTAATAGAAGAATCATAGCAATCAGAGCTGCGATCACCCTGATTCTGTGTTTATGCTCGCAAAACCCGCGTTCAACATCAATAACGCCTCGATCATGTCGGAGACTTGCTAGAATAAAGGATGGTGGAATCTTGTTTAGGTTAGCTATTCTGCAGTGAGATACAAGAAAACATTTAGAATATCTCGGGAAACGTTTCTGTTTATTCTTGCTCGCCTAAGACACGTACTCGAAAAGAAAAACATAGTTGAAGAGCCCATTCCTCCAGAGGTTCGACTAGCTGTTTGCTTGTATCGCCCTGGAAGAGGAACATATTATTATACAATTGCAGAATTGACTGGGCTTAGCAACTTTTTGAGCATCAAATTCTGATTGGCTGAATGCAACCAGTGTGTGTCCAAAGATCTTTAATGTTTGGTGCAGTTTAACTAAGTAGATTTAAGAATTTTAAACCCATGTTGTTGAACCATTTTGCATCTATTTCTCATCAGTACCTTTGCTACATTAATTATTCAGAAATCGGGGTTAACGCTCGAATCTTCGTGATAATGGAAATAGTCAGCGCATTTCTGACAAGCGATCAAGATCCTTTTCCAGGAGAGCGTCAATACATAGTGCAGTGTTTGGAAGATGTCAAGGACCACCAGAAATCCATTGAGAGTTTAGTCGCAGATGCGAGCAGGTTGCTTAAAAAAATGTTGGGTAGTGAAAGCGTCGATTTCCTAAATGGCATGCAGTTTGACAACATCGTTAGGGAAGCAAAAACGAAGATCGATTTGTGTAGCCGGCGATTGAACGGAGCAGAAAAAGCTATTTATGAGCTTGCTGGTAAAATGATAACCATTAAATGGAGTTGGCGTGGTATGCTTGGTGCAGGTTAGATTTAGCCTTGTAATTGTATTCATATTCATTGCATTAAAGCCTATTTGGAGTTCGCTCCCATATTAGTTATTTTGTCATTTTGCGAGCACACTTTAAGGCAGATAAAGTTCTATTCCAAAAAAGGAAGCTCAATCATTCAAATTTCAAATACAGGTTTGGCGTTCACTACTTATTTTCTGTTCAAGCGATATCAGGAATCCAGTCATTCGTTATTGGACCTGTTGCAGTTTGGTGGGTTAACCCTGGTCGCATTTATCCGGTGTTTTAGGCAATTTCTGGACACAGAGAGCGTTTTCTACGAGTTTATTGCAAAACTCGAATCGCAACACTGCTTGTTGAAGGAGAAACTGGAAAATTTGCGCATAAGCTTGACGAGCGCTAAAGATTTTAGAGATGGACTATTGAAAAGTGTAGTATTTAGCAGTAAAATATAACAACCTATTTAAATTAAAAACTTTAAGCAAACTATCCAACTATGTATTGGGTTTGCCAACTACTCATTAAATAAAAAACCAATTAAGGTCAGAATGGCTATAACTAAGAAGACTGATGGACAAATGAATGACAAGCTGATGAACAGCGTAGGCAATAATAGAAAAAGTTGCATACAATTTGTTTCATTTATTATCCAGAGATCGGGAAAAATGGAAAAAGTCAAATCATTTCTGACTGGCGACAAAAATCGGAGCTTTTTCTAAACATTTTTCAGTGAAAGCATTTATAAATAATTACATAATTGCTCAAACTTTGTAAAATGTTCCTTAATACACGTTAATATTTATATAATGTAACAAATATGTTTGATAACATCAAAATACACGAGTCTCAAACAAAATTTGACCAGCAGATCTTTTAATCTATTGCCCGAACCGTAGCTATATCTGAGCTCCAGGATGAATCATATTTGAAATATGAAAATCTATTCTTGAAATAGGCATTTGTCATGTTGTATCTGATCATTGATCAACAACAGCAATTCGCAACCTTGATAATATTTTGTATAAATAATATTGTGAAACAATCACGAGCATTTTTTGAATCTCATTGGCTCCACAATATAATAATTTGACCAATTGTGCTCATTAGTTTGTAAGAACTTTATATCGCAAGTGTAAACTTACTTCTATCATGCCAATTACAATTGCATCAAGGTCAAGCTAGGTTAACTCAAGTAAATATTGATGGGTGATTACATAGTACTTGTCATCGAAGCCACCTGACACCAGGAAAAAAATGAATGAAGTAATTGAATTCTGCAAAGTTTTCCCTCGTCACCACTATGATTTCAATCAATTGGAAAATGACGGTTTATTCGTTTTTCCAACTTTCTGCCTGAACTGTGAAAACCGGCTTCAAAATACAACCGAAAAACTGAAAAAATGGTAAAGAGAAAGATGATAGATTGTGAGAAAGCACAACGTTGGCTTTTTCCCAAAACACGGAGAGTTCCCGAAATATTTGCATTTGAAGAAATAGAAAAGCTAGGGCAGAAAGCAAGGGGAAACCCATATAAGATATTCAGGGGCGGATCTAGGCTATGGCGAAAGTGGCTTGAGCTACGGTCAGAATTCTGCCACTTAAGTTTTTCCAGGGTTGACTTTTTCATGATTAAAAATTTTGCTCAAATACAGCAAAATTCGATCAAAAGCAAAAATTGAATGAATTTTGTAACTTTTTGTCAAAAATTTGTGTTAACAGAACAAAAACTTCAAATTAAACGTATTGTTAAAATAGTATTATCATCCTGTTAAACTCTGAACTGTAAAATCACCGAAAGCGTCTCGAATCTTGCCGAATACGCCATGAATATAACTGTCCAATGATTTAATGATCAATGATCATAAACTGAAAAGCCCCAAACATTTGTTTATGATAAAGTAAATAATAGTATGGCGCCTTATGGCTGCTGATTTTTTGCCCATTGAAATATATTTGCAGGAATGTAGGATTTCGCTGCCATATAACTGCCACGATTCCCCAAGCACAAAAGAAATCATAGCTAAAAGTCCTTCGGCAGCAACAATTTAAGAAGCATCAATCTGCTTACCATACGCCATATTAACATAAATCGCATCACACACTCGCATAAATTGACTTTGATATATTACATTCATGCATACACTTCAGTTGTCCTTTACTTACGATTTTGGATGTAAATTTCTGCTGATAAAACTCAAAACAATGTTGGCTTGCTTTTGAACATCAATGACTGAAATGTCGCTCGCGAGATCGTCTTTGCCAAGCATTTACAGTTCATCCATAAATTTTTCACCCGCTTGAAAAAATTCCCAGTTTGGAAAGCAGCATTTATGTCAATATATGAATTTGTAAAAGATTTCCATAAATTCCATCTGATTGTAGTTTAGTTTCTATCATGCTTTAGAAAATTACTATGAAACGATCAAACATTCAATTCAGACAGTGAGCTTGACTATGTTAGTTCAGTTGGCTATCAGTCGAAATCGGTCAAACCAATCACAGTAAGACAAAAATTTAAACGAACCAATTACACGATAGCAAGTGGACTCCCTTATAGGTCCGGCCACCACGCTTATCGGTCGAGATTATTCCAGATCGTCTACTGATCTGGCTATTGACCAATGAAATAAGCGTTTTGGCGTTCATAGACTCCTTTATCCGTCGAACCAGTCAAGCCACCCCGCTTATCAGTTGGTTATTCCAGGTCAATTAAAATTCAACTGATCTGGTTACCAACGAGATATTCATTGGATTAGTCATTAGTTTTCAATAATGAATAAAGCTGGACTTTTATCACGAAGTAAATGCGATAATAAAGTAAGAATAATTAATGAATTTTTAATTAATATGAATAGGTAATTTTTGAATTTCAAACATCAGTCGCGCGACGGATTTGACATACTCTAGATCCGCCCCTGACAATGTCATCAAATTCAAGAACGTCGTCAATTTGAGACTGGAAAGTCTGTCAACAGTCAACTTCCTATTCGACATACGTGGTTCTTCTGACCATATACGGATGTAATACATATATAAATATTAATTTTTGCATTGCGTTGTTTTGTAGTTTGTACATCATTACTTTTTTTGGCATCATAGCTATTTTGAGTGTTTTCGTTAAAATCAGGAGACATTTTCCTTCTGATTCCTAAGAAAACCTTTAAAATTTTCAAATTTGAAAAATAAGCCAAAAAGATTTTTGGGAGCGAAACGTTAGAAAAAAAACCAAACTGGCAACCTTGATTAACCGTACTTTTTGCTTTTACGCATTGTTTGTAATATGACAAAAATATTTTTTGTTATAAGTAAACATCAATAAAACATATTAGATAATCAGAAGACAAAAGCAGGTGCATGTTTCTCTTCTCGCTTTTGTTTTTCTTGCCATGATGGCTTCTTCGTCGAAAGGTTGTACTAGCAAAATTAACACAGTAAAAAAATGGATAGAAACATTAAATGCCGACTGGCTTGAATACGAGAATGATGGCCAAGTGGTGAATTCACTGCGCTGTAAAGTGTGTACAAACAAAGAGGACAGAATAACAAACGCAAAAAATTTCTCTCGCACATTCATAAAAACACAGTGGTAAATCATATGAATTCTGATCAACATAAGATGGCAGTTAAGCTAAATTTGAAAGAAACGTTGCATGAGAAATATGTTGAAGAATACTTAAACGAAACTCCCATTGGGCAAGGACTCAACAAAATGGCAGTTGCCGATCGCGAAAGGATGGAATATCTCTTTAATGCCACTTACACTGAGTGTAAAGAAGAGTTGCATTTCAAAAAGTATATCCCCATTTGCGAGCTCCTGGAGAAGTGCGGCGTTGATCTAGGTAAATCGTATCGAACAGACCAATCAGCCGCTGAGTTGTCAGATCACATTTCTGGGGTCATGAAAGGAAATCTTGATGAAGATTTAAAGGATGCTAGATATTTGTCAGTTTTATGCGATTGCAGCACCGATACCAGTGTAAAATCACAAGAATTATTTTACGTGTTATATGTGAATAAGAACGGTCGTAGTACTTGCAAATTGATGTCGGTTGAAACAGTGGAAAACGAAGATGCTGCAGGGCTGAAGGAAGCTATGAAAGAAGCTTTTGCCCGTTTTGGCATTACAAACTTTGAATCGAAACTAGCTGCAACTGGTCTAGATGGGGCAAGTGTTAATATGGGGAGAAATACTGGTTTAGCAGCTCGTCTAAAAGATGTCGCTCCTTGGCTCACTGTAGTCCACTGCTTCAATCACCGTCTAGAATTAGCTGCTGCCGACGCATTCAATGCTACGTTTTTTGCACAAGTAGATGAAATATTGCGTCAACTGTTTTCTCTGTACCAGAAGTCACCCAAGAAACTGAGAGAGCTGAAAAAACTAGCTGAAGTGTATGGAGAAACTGTCTATAAGCCCATCAAAGCAAGTGGGACAAGGTGGATAGATCACAAAGTGCGCGCCACGAAGGTTTTCCTGGAGAACTACGGCATGTATATGCAGCATCTTGAACAGGTAAAAATGGCTAATTTTCCAACTTTTGCTGTTTTCCATCAAATTTGCATCGCGTCCTTAAATTTTCTAGAATAATGTTTGCCTGTAATAACAGTAATAAGCATTTTTATTAAATTATTTAATGTCATGTAATATGTTACTTTTTGTTTCTTATGTAGGCCGCAACTACTTCACCTGATGCCCAAAAGCAGAAGATAAATGGCTTCCTAGCTAAATGGAAAGACGCTCGTTTCCCAATGTATGCTTCTATCTTTGTGGACATTATTGGTCCTTTGCGTGTTTTGTCTCTTGGACTACAAACTGACGATAATGATCCAGTTAAAGCTTTAAGGAGAATCAAGGAATTTGACTGGACTATGGTCAAGCTTCAAGCTAGTACATTTTGAAAGGCTACTTTCGATAAATTTCGGAAGGATTGCAAACCTACTGGTGACGACAAGAACCAGATTTCGTATCAAGGTGTTGTGCTCACAAATTATCCCCGTGAACTAAATGGAGCTGCGGGACAACGACAAGAGTGTATAGATGCGATTATTCTCTGTTTGGGCAATCGCTTTAGTGATCTTCAAGAGACACCAGGTTTACAAACACCTTTGTCCAATTATAGACACCCAGTCTTGGCCAGGTGAGGAAGTTAATTTGGTGAGCTATGGAGACGCATCGGTTGCGCTACTTGTCGAACACTTCATTCAGCTTTTGAAGCATAACGGATGCGATGTGTCGCACGATACGATGCTGACAGAATGGAGTGGGCTTAAGTTGTTGATTTCAGAGACGTATGGCAGAGCTATACCATACTTAGATGTTTGGGCTGCCATTCTCTCTTCACCAGTTAGTAAAGAAAAGTTTTCAAACGTTCTTAACATTGTAGAACTGTTATTAATTACGCCCATCTCTAATGCTGTGGTTGAGCGAATGTTATCAACAATGGCCAGAATGAAGCCACACCTACGTAACAGAATGTCAAGAGAAAGATTGGACAGTCTGTTACGAATTAGTGAGGAGGGTCCATCAGTGGAAGATTATGATCCAGCTCTCTCAATAGAGCAGTGGTATGAACAAAAGAAACGAAGGATTAGATATGGAGGCCACGCTTACCCAGAGAAGCGAAAGAAGAAAGTCGATACGTTAGAAGCATCAAGCTGCAGCAAACATGCTTATTTTTCGGACCAAGACTCGTCAGAAAGTGACTAATCGTGTACTATAACATGATAACTTGTAAATATGTATACGTTGATAAAATGTTATAAAAATATTACGTTCTAAAAGTATTAATTTAGTATATAGTACAGTATAATAATTAATTTAATATCATTTGATTATGCCTCTGGAGAAAAATTTTCGTCGAAAAAATTTGCACATCGTTTTTTCTCAACTAATTCGCACCCTGGTCTGAACACAGTCGTAGCAGTCACATACAGTAACAAACTCATAGATATTCCTGAAAATATCACCCAAGCAATTCAATGTCACAATATTGGTCACCACTGGGTGGTTTCTACATCCATAACTGGTGAAGTAGTGGTCTTTGAATCTATGAGTACCAACCTGAATTCATCATTAAAAAGGCAACTCCAGAATGTTTACAAAAACCTTCAAGAACAGGATGGTTCTTTAAACGTCAAAGTGATTCTCCAAAAACATCAAAAAGGATCATCTAATTGTGGTCTTTTTGCTGTGGCAAATGCTGTTGCTTTGGCTAATGGTGTGAACCCTTGCTCTGTTACCTGGCTGCAGAAGAAGATGCAAGTGCATCTGGTCAAATGCTTTGAAGAACAAAAAATCGAGTTGTTTCCCCACATTGAGAATGCAATGCAAACCTGCCATTCAAAAAATTATATTCTGTGAGAATATAGTAATTGTAAGCATCTAACATAAAAATAACCATGTATGGCTTGCTTCACTTTTGCTTGCAAACATCTACACTGTAATTGCTCAAATTGAAGCCCCTTGACAAATCATGTATGTATATATCTGTAAATAGTATTAAACAAAATTAACATTTTCTATTTGTGAATCATGGACATGGTATTTATTTTTACAACTAACTGGGGACATATAACTAATACAGTTACATAATTGTGGTCACATCTATTGTTCATCATTATACACCGAATAATGAATATACATATATAAGAGCCACTTCATTGAAATCTTTTGGACCACATATATCTATTGAGCATGTGATTTTCATAATGGCAACCAGTCAATTGCCGTTCATCACTAATAAACATGATGAAATGACATATTGCGGCAAAGAAATCTAATTAAATATATACAATAATGTACAGTGAAGCGATCCTTGATTTTGCATTTTCATGGTTGTAATGGCTATTTATTTTTCAGCTATCAGTTTGGCTCTGATTTTATAGTAAGTTTGAGTTCACAATACTCGTAGTGTTACGTAATTGTCGTAGTGTTAAGTGACAAAAGCAACTATGAGAAGTGAGAACAATGCAAAGAAAGACGTAAAATGTGTAAAAGGGTGAAATGACAAAGACTTTTTCACCCAAAAAATGTTCCAGGGACTAACGTTTATTTTGCCTACAAGTAGCTGGCGGAATCTCATATAAATGTATGCGTATGCATGATATATTTAGAAAACTCAGGTGATTAATTCAAACGATTGCAGTTATTTATGCATTCTTTAGCTGTGTATTGGTATTCTAAACTTTATACAAAGTATTTCTCATTACTAACCTTCTTTTCATCGCAGCCGTGTGTTCTTCTATCAATAGCATATACTCCATAATGAATGAATAGTACGGCGACATCTCAAATACCATTAAAAAGTATCATTTTTCTCTTCAACCTTAGTCGATTAATGTGTGTATGCAAAAGATGATAGATAAACGAAAGCTGATAGAAGAAAGCAGATAGACGAAATCCAAAAGTTAGCTGCAGATGCGTTAGGATGTTATCCTGCTCCTCGAAAAATTGACTACAACAAACGATCATTCAAGGTAGATGTCCTTACTAGCACCATGATGCAACTGAAGAACACAAAACCTGAACTTATACGGCAGTTTACTCACAATGACCTAAAGTCATCATCAACTATAGAGGAATCTTACAAGACAAAAGCATGTCGAAAAGAAAAGTTTTGTTGCAATTAATAAGTGCAAAATAAGTATTTCAATTCTCATTTAAGGAATTACAATATTGGTTTCTTTGCATTGTTATTGAATGATTACAATTATTATCTATGAGATTATTTGCTACGTGCGACAGCTAATTCGGTTAATTTAACAAAAAAAGGAGAAACCATGCTTTTTTTATGACACTTTTTATTCGTGAATGGTTCGATTATTATGAGGAGAAATAGAACACTTCAATTTCGTTTGGACGAAATTGGTAGGAGCCACCCAACAATTTCTTTGCTTTTGTGCTCCCGTACGAATAGCCTGATGGAAGCTTGTACGTATGACCAAAGTTTGTGTACGAGCTTGTGCTGGTTCTGGCATTGTTGCCGATTTTCAAATCATGACCACCTCCAAACGTGGGTCCATAGCTGCTGCTTGTGTACATTGCATATTGTTGATATCTATATATTGAGGATTTGAAAGGGGCCAGACCAGCCGGGTTTTTAAGAGAAAAAATAAAAGAGTCTGATGCTCTTATGTAACGGCTACTTCCTACAAATAAAAAACATAAAACAATTACATTTCAATTAGAAATTCTTATTGCTTTCTTTAGTGATTATTTATTAGTAATTTCCATTCCTTTTTGGTAAGTCAAAAAGATATTATATATTAATGCATGAAAAATTTCTGAATTCTGATTGGTTAAAAGCAATGAAAATTTCAGAGAAACATCAGTGTAAAAAAAGCGAAACACCAGTGCTGATTTCTCTTCTAATGATATACATGAAAAAATTTCTCAATTCTGATTGGTTTACAGGAGTGTAATTTATCGTAAATACCAGTGCAAAAATAGGAAACACAATACAAAAAAAGGAAATACAGTGCAATTTATTTTTGAAAAATGCGCTCCTGACTGGTTAGTCAAACAAAAAATGATCTAAGAGCCAATCAAAATAAAACATTTCAAAAGCGGGAAAGTTAAATTATTGTAAACAAAGCAATTACAACGACTGGCGTAAGTTTTCTTTAGCAAATAGGATTTTCTTTAGCGAAGGAGTTTACAGTTTACCGTTTGCAAAGTGTTTCTGGATGAAAATAACAATACTGCTAAAAGTAGATACCTTGTTCTAGCTGCGTGTGCAGAAGTTATGGTGCCGTGAAAATAATATCCGACGGAATTGAAAAATACGAACCGGTTGATCAATGATTAAACTCGCCGGCTGCAATGTACGTACGCTGAAGTCAAAAATCTACGGAATTGAGAAATTTTTTCATGTATATGATTAATAAGGAATAGCATGGTTTCTCGTGCAATTTGGAAAACAGGCACTCGTGAGTTTTTCAAAGACTTCAAATTGAATTGACCTTAGGACTTTTGATAGTCTTTGAAAAACTTACTCGTGCATGTTTTTCCCAAGTTGCACTCGAAACCATGCTATTACTTATACAAAGTGCACCTGATTAGTTAGTCAAACAAAAAGGTAATCAAACTAGAGCCAATCGAAATAAATCATTTCAATGGCGGGAAATTTAAGTTATTGTAAACAAAAGCAAATGGATACAATGGCTAGCGTAAATTTTAAGTAGATTTTCTTTAGAAACCGAGTCTACAGTTCTGCATTTGGAAGACATTTCCGAAAATACGAACACTTCTGATTATAGCTACCTTGTTTTTGGCTTTGTGTTTGGAAGCAATGGTGTAAAAAAATTATTTGAACGAATTAAAAAATTACGAGCCGGTCGATAGTTATAACTTGCCAGTTGAAACGTGCGACGCTCAAGTCAAAAATTAACAGAATTGAGAAACTCTTTCATTTAGCTATATTATTAAATTATTTTTATGCAATTTATAAATCATGGACTCGTGAGTTTTTTCATAACTTCAATTTGCATCTCGTATGCAAACTACGTATAACTATAAAAATATGGTTTGGTGCTGGTCAAAGTTGCAAAAAAACTGCGGGTAGACTGGTACTATCGGCGAATAAAATTTTCGAGGATGATTCAAAGTTGAATACTGCAAGTTAAGCACATGCATGCATGTACCCGTACCTCCCGGTTTGCATAGCTGATGTGAGTAATATGTTGTTGTTTTGACGAAGATTTTCAAAACATGATATCCCACCCTGACGAAGATTTAAGTTTTTTATAACTCTGGTGCTGCTAAATGACAAAAGAAATATTGGGCTATATAACTTTAAAACAAGATCAAAGAAATGTAGAATGCATGTTCATAAGATAACTCCCATTGATTATTTTTTATAACTAATACAGTTCATGCACTTATTTTAAAACATAGGTATAGTTTTTCTTAACTATTTGCTGGCATAACTTAACGTTTGGTAGTTTAT